AAGAACTAAAGTTACATTTTTAAATATTCTGAAAGAATCAAAGATTCTAAAAATAAATTAGAAGTATTATTGTTTTTCACTCTTTGGTATTTTTGCAAGATTTTTTGGAATTGTTAGAGAACTTTATTGCTCTTATTTGAAATTGAATAATAAAATAAATGAAAATTAATAAAATAATAAAACAACTTTTTTTAAAAAAATAATTTAAAGATATAAAAAATGCAAAATACTAAAATCTCTTTGAATAAATTTGATATAAATTGCTGTTATTATTTGTGAGGATAAATATTTATAAATTATAAATCTGATTGTTAATCTTTTGTACTTTGCTCCAATTGCTAAAAATCGTCAAATTGCTAGTTGTAATTTATTAGATTTAAAGTGTAAAAAATATATGACATTTAATATTATAAAGATTTTGAACACACCGAAGTTAATGTTTGAAATAATAAATGCTGAAAAATATTAGAATTGATCAAACTTATTTACTATCTATTAACTAATTGTGTTTTGCATTTGGACTACGTCAGCAAACCCAAAAATTCTACTAAAGCCATCTATGAATAAAATCCGTAATTAATTACATACTAACCCAATGTATATATATATATATATATATATATATATATATAGTATTACATTTTTGTTATATAATTCCATATTATAAGTTTAAATAAAAATTAATACGACTACATCAATATTAATTTCCCTGTTTTGATGCAACACAAAACACAATAGAATTTTTTTCGCTCGATTATTTTTGCATTAAAACAAAACACTTTGCAATTTTAATTAGCTGCAAATAATTATTAATTCCGATGCTATCGCTTTTAATTGGAATTTTTAAACATAAAAACAACTGTGGAACTAATTGTTGCAATTTTGTTTTCATATTTTGCAATGCACTTATTTCCAGTCAGTTTGTTGGGAAAGTTTGAAGTGGAAATACATTTTAAAAAAGTATTAAAAAAACTAGAAAAAAATATTGAAAATTAATGATAATAAATAATATTGAACAATACTTAAAAATAATTTCAATATTATTAAAAATATTTAGTAGTTTATAACAAATTGTGGTGGAAGACTAAATGGAAGCAAAATTTGACTTAAAAAAAAATTATTGATATATATATATATATATATACGTGTATATATATATTGCACTAAATTTTAATACTAAAAAACTTATGAATTTATTATAAAAATATTACTAACACCTGTATTTATTTGGAAAATTTAAATTATTATTATTTATAATTATATATTTATATTATATTTAATTTGAATTAATAATAATTTTTCAATTTAAATTGAAAATTTTGTTAAAAATATTAAAACTAAAGTATGTTACTTTTTTTTTAAAAAAAATTTGCCAACAAATACTAACTGATCATTTTTTTAAAAATTTTAGAGATATTCGGAATTTTTAAACAATGTCTATATAGAATTTGAAAATACATATAAATTGTGAATTTTTTGAAAAATCGTAAAATTTTTAATATGTTATTTCTGAATTTTCTTGCCAACAATTTGTATTTAAATTGTTGAAAAATCGTATATTTTTAGTATGTTGATTTTAAATATATCTTTTTTAAGAACAAATACTGAAATTAATAAATTTTGCAAAACTTTAGAAGATATTTGCGATTTTCTAAAAAACAATCGTTGTTGAACATGAGAAATGTTCATATAAATAAACTTAATAAGATTTTTTTTAAAATATAAATAATTGTTGAAAAATCATATATTTTTAGTATGTTATTTTTAAAAATGTCTATTATAACAACAAGTACTAAAATTGATAAATTTTACAAGAATTTAAGAAATACTCGCAATTTTTTTAATAAAAGTTAAAATTGAATTTGAAAAATGTTTGCAACTTTTTAATTTTTTTAATAAAATTTTTTTTAGATTTTTTTAATAAAAAAATTATTAAAAACCTATATAATAGTAGTATGTTATTTCTGAATATTTTTCTTATGACAACAAATACTAATTCAAAAAGCTTTCAAAAATCTTTATTTTCATAGCATTTGATTTCCTCGTAATCAATTTAATCTTATCTTTAAGATTAAAATTTCATGTTATAATTAATGAAAAAAAATTGTGTGACTTGTGAAATTTTTCATAATATTATATTTCGATAAAATAGTTAGTTTTGTAATTGTAATTATCTTAATTTATCTAAACGTAATAACGATTTTTGTCGATAACGATACGAATTTCGGCTTTGCTTTTTATTTGAAATCAGTTTTTTATGAAATTTGTTCAAGTGCGTAATAAAAATTGTGATAATTGTAATAATCATAGATAAGGGTAATAATTCTTTTAATAATGTTAGTAAAAAAAAGTATGTGAACTAATTTAATATTTTAATAAAGCCGAAAAAAATTATTTTAATTTTTTATTTCAATTTGAGTCTTAAAATTAGAACAGAAATTATTTAAGTTTATACAAAAAAAAATTAACATATTTATTTTACCTATGCTACTGCATTTATTATCAATGACTTTTATCCTTTCATCCTTTTATCTTTTATCTAAAGTCCTTATAAATCAAATAAACAAAAATAAGTCCTCCTCGCGCGTCTAATTAAATAATCAAATATTGACATAAATTATTAGAAGAAGATATAAAACCAAAAAAGCATAAATTTATACTAATTATAGTTTAAATATAAACAATAAAAAAATGTCGACTGTTGTTAAATAATTTGTCACATGTTGAGCAAAAATTTGAAACTAGTCGGAGAATTGTTACGGTGGAGAGAAGTAGTTAAATTGTTATATAATAAATATAATATTTTTTTTACTAATTTTAAATTAATAATAAATTATTCATATAGTACAGATGTTGTTTCATATATATATTTAATTTTTATATTTAAATATTATAAAAAAGTAAAAACTAAAAATATAAACGTGGGTGTAAAATGGTGGTGACATCTTGTAAATTTTATATTAATTATTTATATAATAAATAATAAATTATAAATATAATATTATTTCAAATTTTAATACATTTTATTAAATAAAATTAATTTAATATATAATTCATATAATTCATGATTAGAATAATTACGAAAAATTAAATAATATCTAATATAATAAAAAAATTTAACCGAAAAAATTTTGTTCGAAAATCCCAACACCTTATGAATTTTTTTTTTTTAATTTTAAATTGGTAAAAATTATAAAATTTAATAGATATTAAAAAAACAGCGATTGTGAAGTGTTCTAGTAAATAAATATATTAAATTATAAAATTAATTTCAAACTAAAATTATTTTCATCATATATTTTTACCACTTCCAGATTTCTTTTTAAATATTACAATTAAATTTTAATATTATTTAAAATGAAAAATAAAATTTTAAACAACCTGAGTGCCTTAGCAAGGAATCAAACCAGTGCTCCGAAAAGATCAGAGGACTGCGCTGTTCAAATCGAAAATGTCGACGATTCGGAAGAACAAAAAAGTTCAATATGTTAGTACATAAATAATAAAAATAATTTGTTTAAAAAATATTGTCTTAGTCTTAATTTTAGTTATAAAAAAACATAAAATTTGTGAGTAAAATTTACTATTTACGCTCATAGATTTTTTATTTAGGGCTTATTATGTTGCTTGGGGAACACCAGTTTGTATAATTGATTCTAAATGTTTATTACAAAGTAATGCAAAGCTTAGGGGCTTGGATAAAATAGAAATGTTATGTTGAGGGTCTATGAACGTATGAGTTGCTCATCACAAATTTTCTGTTTGTTCAATAATATCGTTTTAGTATTCAAAAAACTAAATTATTTCACCTGTGAGTTAAACTTACTTTTATATAGGGTCCGTCAGATAACTTTTTTTTTGAAAATGCTAGATATAAACTACTGAATATTTTCTCAATCTAAATCGTTTTTATTTGAAAGTGCAATCCTTCTGGTTAATAATCGAAAATAATTTCATTGAAATGGCTGTCTAACTTTTAAATGGCTGTCAAAAAATTCTAAATTGCTACGAATAAAAAAAAGTTATATGGCGGACCCTTTACATGTCTTTTAAAATAAATAAAATATTTTTAATAACGATCGCATAAAATGTGACTATCACCAGATTTCACTGTTTTTTTTTTAATAATAGAAATATTGCGTACAAAATTACAAACAAAAATTAAATAAAAATTATGAAGTGTTTTCGATCAATTCTACGATGAATGTAATAAATATTTACTATGTACTTTTACTCATCAATCATTTAGAAATCCGATTTTATCTCAAGTGCTTTCTGATTTGTAAAATTATCAAATAAATATACATATTTATATATAATCGTATATATGATTTATTTATTAGTCATTGATAAAATTTCCAATTTATAACATTAAAACTTTACAACAAATGGACGTGCTAGTACGATTTAGGGATAAAATTAAAACATTTTTTGATAAAATTGTACATATTACATATAATTAATTAACATAATATTACTTACTGTTTGTATCATGAAATTGAACTTGTTTCATAAATTTCCCATGTATCTTTTTTTTTAAACCAGTTCGTCTTCAAACCAGAATGTAAATATGTAAATATTTTAATAGTATTTTTTTAAAACAGATTTAATTTTAATTTGTAGATTATTTTTCATCATTGTCCTATAAAATTGTTCAGCAAAAATAATATGAAGTGTAATAAATTTGTAACATTGGCGAATTATTTAATTATTATGTAAATATTTTAAATATTTTTATTAATTAAATGATGGTAAATTTAAGTGATCTGATAAATAAATCAAATTTCGATCGAATCCAAATTTTAATAAATTTACAAAAAAATTATTTTATTTTTGTTGAACTTTCCTTTGCACTCGATGTTATCTAAGGTTTGTGTCTCTGCTTAGCTACAGCAGCGCCAAACGTGAAAAAAAAGTTTATTCAAATGCATTTTATTTACTTATTTTATTTACTATTAAATATATATAATTAATATTTTAATTATTTTTTTCTCAGGTGCGAAGCAACCAATGTTGGAATTGGCCATAAAAGGTGTGGCCGAAGTCACAGGTACGGCCATGCTTTTATTTTTGGGCTGTATGGGCTGTGTGACCGGATTGGCCCAAACGCATTTGGCCATTTGTCTTAATTTTGGATTTGCTGTACTCATCATTGTCCAGGTAAGAAAAGAAATAAGAAATAAAATAAATGATATGTGAGATGGAGTTCCATAAGGGATCGTACTAAGCTCCATAGTCACCAATTAGTCACTATTGTATTTGTGGCAGATTACCAATTGAGAAGTGACAAATAAAATAGTATAATCAGTGATATACCTATGATATTGCTGATGGAGTTCCACAAGGATAGATACCAAGCACCACAGTTATATTTGAAATAGAATAAAATTTTATATACTAGCTAGTATTGTTGGCTTACATAATAGTATTAGCTAAGAGTTATCAAGTTGCAACTATTATTAAATTTAAATTGATGTTTTTTTATAAATTATTTTATTCAATACTTTACAATTCAAGGCAAGTGTATAAATTTAATAGAACTAGCACAGTTTATGAGACAACCTTTAAAAAAAAATTAGAGTAATAAAGTGAAAATAATACAATGAAGGAAGTAATAGCATTGTGGGTATATAGACAGATTGTCCTCTCCACCTTCACTGGGTATTTTTAAGTACAATATGAATTAGCAAACAGTTTTATAAAAATAATTTTAATTTAATCACAATCCATAAGATTTGTGTACCCGTTAAGAAATATTATTTTTTTCCAGAATTTTGGTCATTTAAGTGGAGCCCACGTGAATCCTTCAGTAACAATTGCAGCCCTGATTATGAGGACAATTACACCAATTACAGGGGCAGTTTATATAGTATGCCAATTTTTGGGGGCATTTTTGGGCTTCGGATTGTTAAAGGTAATATTTACCAGAATAAACAATATATGAAACTGATTCTGGCAACTAGAAATAACACGTTTGGAAGAACAAAAGTTCCTCGACCTTGATTTGAAATTAAATTTTATTTATATTGTAAAAGCATAAATTATTTTAAAAAATTAGTAGTTTGCTGGAAGCAAAGTTTTTGCATCTTATGTAACAGTATAAATTTATATAATACGATTAGTAGTTTGCTGGAAGTTTATTGCATTTTAAGTGACAGTATGAACTTGTATGATTCGATTCGATGACTGCGAACGCTCTTTCAAAAAGCTTTTGGATCAGACAAAAAGTTGCATCAATTATGAACCATAATATGAATTTAGAAAAAATATAATTAGTTTTAATGTTTTTTATATTTTCAGTTATTAACTCCACGTAACATGATTTTGGGTATAACAGAATCAGTAAATGCCAGCGACGCCAGTCCCGGATTTTGCGCAACAATGCCCCATTCGCAACTTTCAGACATCCAGGTCAATAACAAAATCTTTCGAGGCTCTTATTCATAGAAAAAGGTTACTCATGTTTTTTATTTATATTTTAGGCAGCTGGTGTAGAATTCATAACAACCGGAATTCTGGCATTTGTTTGCTGTGCAGTTTGGGACCATAGAAATGCCAAACACCACGATTCTGTATCTATAAGATTCGGTTTGACCATTGCTGGTTTGGCCCTGGCCAGTGTAAGTAAAAAAAAACATTGAAAAAAATAAACCGATAAAAAACGCATCTGAATCTACAATTTAGATTATTCCCAAATAAATCATCAGAAATATTTGTATTTTATATGGCGCTTCTTATGTTGCTTTGAGGAACACCAGTTTGTATCTTTGGTAGTCAAGGGTAATATATTGATTTGTAACAAAGTAATGCTGTATTTAATATGCTATTTTGATAAACACATTTTTTTATAAATTTAGGTTATTACAATTATTATTATTAGTTTCTTAAAATAAAAAAAAACTTGCATTTATTATTCAAACTAAAATAATGCATTAAACAGTGTTCGATCGTTTTAACACAAATTTGTGTGGGGCTCAAAATAGTTTCTTGAGGTACACCAGTACAGGATATTATAAACTATTTTACTCAATACTTTTCCATCAATTCCATCATTCAATCAGAAATTATACAAATTCTAATAGTAGCAAGTGTAAAATGAATAAGTTTCGGTGTTCCTCAAGGCAGAGTGATAAGTCAATTGCAATATTTCGGACTTGCTTTTTCAATATAAAATTGCAATATTTCGGACTTGATTTTTTAATATATATTATATCAATTTATTTACAATCCGTTAACATTTATTTGAGACACTTTTTTTATTTCTAAGGTCCCTGGCCAGTGTAAATGAAATACAGATAAAAACAATAAAAAAAATAACGCAAATAAATCCATAATTTATATTATTGCATACTAAATTATTACGTTAAAATGTAATTTGTTTTATTAAAAACTATAGTAGATTATCATTCTTTATATGGGGCTCATTATGTTGCTTTGGGGAACACCAGTTTGTATAATTTATTCTCAACATTTAATACATTTAATACAACATTTAATGCACTATTCTGATAAACGCTAGTCTTTTTTATACATTTTGGAGTGTTACAAATGTTATTTCAATAAATTTTTAATTATTTAAATAAAAAACTTGCAACTAAAATTAAAATTAAATTGATAATTCATCTTTAAAGTTACTGGAGTCAGAATAGTGCCTTGAGGAACACCAGTTATTATAAACATTTTTTTCATCTATTATCATCACTTCATTATTTCATCAACGGTTAGATAAAATTATTTCTCTATAATTAATGACAATTGCATATATTTGAAAAATATAATGACTGCAACTAAAATAAATAAGTCTCGGCGTTCCTCAAGGTTAAATAATGAGACCCATACATTAATTTGAAAAAAAATGTGATATACTTATAACATTAATTTGTTTTTTATTATTTTACTTATAATTTATTTTTTATTTTTTAGGGTCCCTACTCAGGTGGCAGTATGAATACAGCTAGATCTTTAGCTCCGGCTCTGTGGAACGGCCAATGGGAGCACCATTGGGTAAAAAAAATATATTTTACCCGACACGTATGGAAAAATCCTAAATTTATATTTATTTATTATTTTTTTTATCTTTTAGGTTTACTGGGTAGGGCCCCCACTAGGCTCCTTGGTATGGACTTTGTTCTATAAATTCGTGTACAGGACCGAACCAGAAATTGTCGAAAATAGAGACGAAGGTGTCCCTTTGAGGGATATAGAACATAATAAATCGTAAATTAAAAATAAAATCTCGTAAAAGAGATTTTGAAATGGAAAATTATAATAGTTTTCAAGTTCTGGTTTTGTGGATGAATTTAGACAAGGATTTTTTGAGTGTCTAAATTTTTTGTTTTATTAAGTTTGAAACGTTTTTTTTCTCATATAGACAAATATTTAATAATGGTCTAGCAGGATTTTAATACATGACTTGTATAAAGTTAACTTGCAAAAATAATTTTTTCGAATGTATGTGTAGCTAAATATCCAAAACATTACTTATTTACTGAATATATATATATATATATATATATATATATATATATACTTTTATTCTGCTAGATTTTTTTGTTAATTATTATATAATTAAAATAATTAGTCATCACATTTTGTTTTATATTTTATATAAAATCAATTTAGTTTAGTTTAGTTTATTTTAGTGTCATTTCCAAAGAAATCTCTCGACTAAATAATAATTGTTATAGAATAGTTTATATGTATATTATAATTTAGATAAGTAAGATATAATGTATAAAAGAGTATTAAGGCAAGAAATAAACAAATATTTTTACTAATATATATTATTAGTAATTTACAAATATAATTTCACGGTAAGTTATTTCTTCAAAGATAATAATATGTTTTAAATTCAGTTCAAAACTTATATTATTTATTTTAGACGAACAAGAATCTTACAAATCAAATTTTGTGTAGATTTATAAATCTGTTAAGTTGAAACAAGTTTCAAGATATTTTTTTCATTCTATAAAATGAATAATTTTGTTAGAAACATAATAACTAAAATTTGTTTGAATATTTGCAAACCTTTTTTCATTTACTATATAATACTAAAAATTTAGTATTTGTTACAAATTATTTAAATAAACTAAAACATACAATTCAAAAATTTCGAAAGTGTTTGTGAATTTAGTTTGGAATTAAATGTTTTACTTTTTCAGGTGTTATTCATTTAGAATTTGTAAACTATTTATTTTTCTGATTGAAAAATGTATAACCTATATTTCTTGTTTAAATACTTTTTCGATTTATACTTGTTGTAAATTTTATTAAATTGTGCCATTTAGAAATGTTTGTTATTTTTTATATGCCATAAAAATTAGTGCTTTGTATGTAAAATAATATGAATATGTAATAATAATAATAAAAAATTGGATTATTCAAAAATTAAATAATATATATATATATATATATATATATATATATATATACTGTTTTTTGTTACTTTTCGAGCAATAAATCTGAATGATAAAGAACAAAGTTTTTTCTTTGTGACGTTTTGGATTAAATTTGTATCATCATCATAATTATTTCTTTAATTTAAAAAAATATTTGTTAAAAAGCAATAATATATAAGGTATTTAATGTTTCAAAATTTGAATAAAATATAATAAAATACAGTCAAGAAGTCTTGTAGAAAAAATCTTTTTCTAATTTTCCATATGTTCACATGTTATGAAAATCATGATTTTTACTACAAGATTTTTTCAGTGTATTTTATTATATTTTATTTAAATTTTGAAACAAATTTTATACCGGATATTTCTTTTTAACGAATAGTTTTTTAAATTAAAGAATAAAGTCTGATGATGAAACATATCTAGTCCCGAAACGTTACAACAAAAAAACTAACTATTTTTATTACTATTTAGATTTCTTGTTCGGAAAATAACAATATATACCAAATGTGCTTATAGAAATGCATTTATGTGCTTTTATAAATAAAATTGTGAATACTTTTGTAAAAAAACTTGAAGTTGTAAAATTTTGTTTAAGATTCTATATAAAATATTTGATTTTTCTTGGAAACCCTTGAATGTAATTATATATAACGAACACACATGATACAAATAGACATTTGTTGAATTTTTGCACTGCCAATTTAACACGTTAATCGCCATTTCAGTCAAAAAAGTGTTTTGCTAGAAGAAGAAAAGTTTAAATATGGCGCCATGTCAGTAGTATTTGTGCGAAATGAAAAATAAAGGCAGAAAATGTCTTTGATACATTAAATTTCCTTGATCATAGTCCATGTCATTATTTTTATATCGTGGCGATTAACGTGTTAATGTATATATAATTATAATCAATCAAATTATTATATATATAACAGAATTCAAGGAAAACTCACAACTTCTGCTAAAGCCTCCATAGTTTCATCAAGCCTTTAAGTCCACCATTATAAATTCACTAAAACTTGATGACAATGATTACAAATATAGCAAATTCAAATCTTGTAGGTTTTACACAACATTTACACTTGTTTATATCAATTTAAAATGGGTTTTAATAAAGATATGATATTATTTATACCGAGTGCATAATTATTAATCTTTTCGCCATTTTGACAGTTGACTACGAAGTTCGTGCAACGGAATTAACAACGATATCGATAAAAAATTTAAATATAGATAATAATGAATTTATTTTATTAATTTTAATAAATCATTTATATTTAATAATAAACCGATGTAAAGTTGATATACATAGTTTAAATTTAACAATTTAAAACTTTTTTTGTATATTTTTGAAAACTAACGGTTGTCAACACTGAAGCAAAAACAATTATATGCAATTATATACTCTTCTTTTATCTATGATTATATGGTTGATTTATATAATAATACAAATATTTGTTTTAATTTATAGTTTACTTAATGATAATATATCACTTGTTTAAGGAAATAAAAATAGTTTAACAAAAAATTTGTTAAAATTTATTTGAATTTTGCGCCATTTATTGTTCACATTTATCTTCTGGCGTTAACTTAACGGCAATAACGTCTAGTTCAAACGACACATTTTTTTAAATTTAAGTTATATTTAATAATACGTAGATAAAATAAAGTACATATTATATTATAATTAATATATATTATATTTATGCTTAATTTTCTATGTATATTAATATTTAATTAAGTTTTTAAATATTTGACAGCTCAATGTGTTAACCAACGAACAATGTTAAAATCAAAATGTCGGTTTGAATTAGACACGACAAGACGAACAGATCACGTTTAAATTAATTATTAAATTTGTCAGTGAATCAGTTAGATTTAAATACTAATATTTAAGGTTTTAATGTTTTTCTTAATGTGCTTATTGTGTTGTGAATTAAAAGTAGAATAAATGTATTTTTAAAAAGGTAACCTTTATTCGTTGAAGTTGTAATTGTAATTGATAGTTATAATCATAGATAAATAAACATAATGGTTATAACAATTGGTAAAGATAGATATCTAGAAGGATGAATATATATATATGGTTGTTAAAAGGCAAAAATGTAAAATTGTATTGAACTTGCAATATGTCAAAACAAGTACTCGAATTTATGAATTTGTTCTTGTAAATTTGCAAGGTTTCTGAAGAATACTTTTCTGGAGAGTTATTTTATCAAATTTTGCTTCTAGTTATTCATTATTACAGATAATAGTATAAGAATTAAATACTTTACTGTTTGTATAATAGCAATTTTGAAGTGTTCTTCTCGAAACTATTCATCGAACATATCTTCATCCTTCGATGTTTATATATATATTTATATATATATATATATATATATATATATATATATATAAGTAGTTAATAATAATTGTTGTATATATAAGACTTTGTTAGTAATAAATATTTAATATAAAACTTACCAATACCTTATATAAAACACGACAACTATATTTATAAGTATTTCAGGGTCTGCATTTAATATTTTACAAGATGTCTTCAAAGTTTTTACATCTACATTGCACAAGGCTATTGATGAGATTCATCGACTGTCAATGTAAGTAAAATTTAATGTTTTTTTCAATTTAACACTTAACAGACAGGTTCCTTAAATTCATATTATTACATATACATGCAGATGATTGTTTACATGCTTAGAAAACGCTAAAAGTGTGTATACAATTATGAAATATTAAATAAATTGTAGATGCAATGCTTTATCTAATTTTCCTGAAATATTTATGGAAACTGGACCCGATAGAATAGATTTAATTTGTCTGTTAAGTGATAATTTAATTCTGGTCTAATTCATTAATGATTATCATTGCCACATCATAAACTTAGCATAGAATACAATTTTTATTCACCTAATCATATATATTATCTATTAGAGTACAAGATTGAATATTTATTTTTCAAATAACACTTTTACATGTTCCTATAAACAAGCATTATTCAAGCTTGATGCACAATGGATCATATAAATCTAATTATTATATTATGCAAAATCTATCCTGTACATTGCCAAATCCATCCTCTCGACAAAAATATCTCCCAAGTTTTTAACCAGCTCCAAATCCTTAACACCTGTCAGACTAGTCTTGGTTAATTTCTTTATTTTAACATCAGTCAATGTAGTATCAGGATGCATTCTTGTATTGTGACAAGTGTCCGAAGGATTTGTGCCACCTATTCGACAACTGTAACCCTGGATAATAAAAACAAGTCAGTACAGAACTTATACGGTTAATATCAGTATTATTGTTGTACCTGTCTGTGCAACATCAACAGAGCATTCGAACCAGGAAATTGATGATAAGTCTCATCGCTTAGTATTCTCAGATTGATTAATCTCATGTCGCAAAGCAAAGGATGTGATATTAAAGGAACTCGACTTCTGTCCTGGCTTATTGTCGTGTACTCAGTTTTAGAGTTAGACTCATCCATTTTGTTGTTCATGTTGTAAGTAGCTGTAGTACAATGTTGGTTAAAATATGAACTATTTAATAGGATAATAAAATACTTACAGCTTGCATTTGGTTCTTCCACAGAATAGATGTTAAGCGGATAATTCAAAGCATCTGCTAATCTTGTAGCTGCCAAACTTGGTAATTGATACTCTTTGCTCTGTCTCTTTGGTTTCATAGGTTTTTTAAATATACTTTCTTTAATATTTGGCAAATGCATATCTTGTCGTATACTGCAAAAACAAAACTGTTTAAAATTCTATTACCAGATACAAAATAATGTTTTCACTAACTTTAAATCATTCTCTTCTGAGTCAACACTTTCAACAAGTAACCAGTTTTTAAAAACAGTCGGTTTATTGTCAACAAGCATTTCATCCATTCCACGTTTATCATCATTAAATATTCTTCGATCTAACATTACTTCTAATTGTCCTGGATATAAACTAGCAGCACCCTGCAATAAAAAAACATACATTATACATATATATATATATATATATATATATATATATATATATATATATTTACTTGTGCATGATCTGTTATGAACGTTAATCTAATCTTGCAATCCTGAATGAAAGCCATACTGGTTATCGGGTAATAGTTGCCTTCAGCTTCAATTTCTGGAATAAAGTTTCTCTTATGGTATTGAAAAGAATTAGAATCAGCGTAGAACACTGGTGGTAAATCATTGTCGATATTTGTTTGCAACCTGAAACATTATTTACAATCTTAGTACCTGCATAAGTTTTTTATGATGTTTTATCATTTACCTGAGGAACAGTTCAGTGTTCAATGCAATGCTTTTGGAAAATACTCGTAAGTCGACCAAGGTTTCCAAATATACAGCACGCATTAATTCGCTATTTTTGGAAGGATGATCACCAGTTTTAAAATTGTATATTCGTGTAGTATGTGATAGGAGTTTTTCGTACACAGCTGTAAGTTCACTCAATATTGGTCCTTTTGTTATTATTATATTTGGAGACAAACTATAAATTTTAAAAGTGTGTTAAACTACTTATATATATATATATATATATATATATATATATATATATATATATATATATATATATATATTAGGGTGGTTCTTAATATGGACATTATGGAATTTATTTGCTCCCAAGGGCTCAAATGCTTCCAAATTAATAGTAAAAAATTCTCTAAAAGTTTTAGCTCTGGATAATAACATTTATATAGTCCGCAGTTCAATTAAAGGTTTCGTATATTCATTATTAACATACATCATTAAGTAAATTCTTGCGCCATCTGTGGTTGCAGACTTGTAATTTTGATGGCAATTTGTTACTGATAATTTGAGTGTCAGAATCACCAATTAAATAAATATTTTGCTGCAAAATTAATGTTGATGCCATAATGAATAAATATTTTCTTAAACAGTCCACATGGATTTAATTAGAGATTGAGTGTTTTATAAATATTTTTAAGTATCATAATATTTGAGTTTACAAATGCTATCACAAATGGCGCAAGAATATATGGTAATAATGTATATACGAAACTTTTAATTGAATTGCGGACTATCTAAATATTAATATTAAGAGCTAAATCTTTAAGAGAATTGTTTTTTATCAATTTAGAAACATTTGAGCCCTTGGGAGCAAAGAAATTCGAAAATGTCCATATTAAGGACCACTCTAATATATATATATATATATATATATATATATATATTTATATATATATTTAATTTTCTATTTACTCTCTCAAAATTTTCTTATCCAACTCAGTAGCATTCGGATCAGGTTTGAACAAATAAGCTCCTGAAGTATCGGCTATTTCGGCACCCTTGTAATACCCAAAATTAATATTACATTTGATTGTCTCAAATGTACTTTCATCACCACTACTTTTCCAGAAATTTTTATGCATTATGGTTTTTAAAAATCCGCTGTCACCATCAAGCGATAGGATTAAATCTTTATTTTCCAACTTGATATCACCGGATGGAATTGGTTGAAGTGGAAACATTGTTGTATTGAAGCATTTGTTGCAATAGATAGTCGCAAAGTTTTTGGGATCTTCTTGCTTGGTTGTGATTATGGAGTATGTAGATAAACTTAAAGGTGGTAGGCGGACTATGAAGGATACTTCAAATTCTTTATCGGATATTGTCCATTGTGGTAGAGTTGTGGACGTGTTCCAAACAGGACTGATTTGTATGCGTACCTAATGAAAAATAATATTGTCAACTAGAGTTGTGGTGGTGGATTGGGGATGGAAATTACCTCATTATTCTGGTCGTCAAGAATTGCTATTTTGGTATCGTTCACGCGTATTATGACGACTTCAGAACGTTCTTGCGGAAGCGAGTTGAACATCACGATTTGTCTCTTGTCTCTCGACATCGATATACGAACCTGAAAACACACAAAATTGTCACAACTCCAACATCCAACACCAATATATTTTGCACACAAACCTTTCTATCCAACTTATCATAACTCTCCTTCTCGATATCCTTCAAAATAAAACCTTTCAAATCATCTCTGTCTTTTTCCTTGTGTTCAACAAGTAAACCCTCGATGGAGTCTTCTTGTATCTTGTTGGCAATTTGCAAAGCTTCGAACAGTTTCAATCCAAAATCCTTCATGACTGCTTGTTTGGAAGTTCCAGTAATGGCATCGTGATGCTGAAACAATGCCAAATGCCTTCTGGCACGAATCAGACTGTCGTAATGTTTTTCAAGGATTCGCAAATGGGAAGAGTATTTTTGTGAGCTGTTTGGGTGCTGGGATAGTTGACGTGCTCTATTGGTGGCTATTGTGTATAAAATCTCAGCATTCCTGAATGAAAATCATTGTCACGCAATGTGCTAAAGAGTAAAAGTTTTTTATCCCACTTACCTTAAGTTGTGTTCAACAGTTCTGTCCAATATTTTCATATAAGGTCTAGTCGTATAGTATCCTGACCAATAAGCTGGTTCGCCATCATTGTATATATCAGAATACACAAAGAAATCTCCAGCAATTTTTGGAAACTGTTGTCGTGCCTCTGTTGTTCGTTTTTCAATAGCTTCAAAATAATCTCGAGGCGTACCGAAAGATATTTCTGCTCCATATCTTGATCGATATTTATTTATATAAGCGGCTAGATGTTTGTAGTTGTTGTACTGCTGGTCGAGTTGTATTTCTTCATGATAACTGAAGATAAAGTACAAAGTTGTACAAAAATAAATAACATCACTATCATCACTTATTTTTTACCTAAAATCACTCCCAAGAGGAACAATCAGCACATTATGCGAAAACAAACTTGCAGATTTCGAATATTGCTCCAGCAGCAACTCTGCTTTTTCCTGCACATTATATTTATCTATGAACTCTACTGGAAAATCATCGAAGATTGACACTCCTAAAAAATAATATAAGCATTAACAATTCAAACTAGAGGTGTATGGCATCGTGTCTTAAGGCAAATTGCTGGAACTTCCCGTACCGTAACGAAATGTTCGAGGAATACTGAATGTTTTCAAATAGATTATTATTAATATTGTAATGTTGTCTAATATTTATAAGAATTATATAAACTGAATTGCAAAGTTGAAATTATTTGTTTGAAGTATATTAGAACTATAGTCAGAATTAAAAACAAAATCTGAATTATTTTCAATATACAAAAAATTTTTTTTTGAAAAAAAAAAGTTGAAAAAAATTTTTTTTCTCCAAAATCAATTATTTTGTTAAGACAAGCAGAAAGTTCTTTGAATCATTTAAATCGGACGCTTAGTTCACTCAAATACTGCCATTTTTTGCACATTTAGCTCTGTATCTTCGAAATGGCGGAACCTGCCTTTGCCAAAAACTAATCACCACTTCTCCCAATCATTAGGAATTGAATGTTTTTTAGATCATTCAAATCTGATACTTCGTTCTCTTAAAAACTCGCTTTGTATTTTCTGCACTCTTTGCTCCGTATCTCCGTAACGACTGGACCTGCCTTTGCCAAAAACTAATCAGCACATCTCCCTATCAATAGGAATCGAATGTTTTTTAAACCATTCAAATCGGTTAATCCGTGCGCCCGAAAACGTGGACGAAAAAATGCGGACATACAAAACACACACACATCCATTTAGTTTCTGAGGTATGCCCTTTAAAAATGTTCAGAAACCTTCAAAACGTCGAGAAATGCAAAATTTTCATTTTCGATTTTCGTCCCATTACTATAACTACTCTACGGGAAGTTAAAAAAAACTATAAATATTGTAATCTACTTACTTTGATTGTAATTAAAATCGAATTGTGCACATATGTTCCTATGAGGGCCACAAGTGTAATCGATGGAATAGAGATCGAAGGGCATATTGTGGGCCAGGATTGAATTTTTTGGTTTGACTAAACGGGATATAGATTTTTTAATTTTAAGTTTGCCTTTTGGAGCTATATTTGGATTTTTTGCCTTGTTTTGAACGTTGATGTCTCGATTGTGCATGTTTTCTGTATTTATTACTGTTCGTTTTGGACGTTTTATCATCTGATCTTTTATCTTAGAGTAATAATCCAAAATATGTCTTGGACTATTATCATTTTCCAATTTTTCTCCGTGTGCTTTATTGTTTGTAGATTTATCTTTGGGAATTTGGTCAGTTTTTGGAGATTTGAAACTACTAAATTCATTTTTACCAAAATTTATTATGTCGGATGTATCTTTGTCAATCATCAGATAATCAGAACTTGAGTCTTTTGGATTTTTATCCAATGCATCACCAGATATTTTATTTTCACCAATATATCGTTTGTCTTTATTTAAAAAATTGTTCACCACAGATTTATGGATATGACCAAAATCTGCTATATGATTTTTTTGGCCTCTTGGTGTTTTGTCCAAATCTTCGATTCTCCATCCAGGAACCCACATAAAATCTCCAAATCTCTTCCAAGCAAACCACTGCTTCCAAGCAAAATGAATTCTCTGTATAATAGTCCTATGGATTCCAGAATTACTTAAAATATAAGGAAATGTGCTACTGTGTCCAAAAGGGTCGATGGACCAGCCTGTTGTTGGTGTAACGTTCAGGTTGAGTTTTAACCATTGGTGACCTGGTAATAGAAATAAGTTGAAGGTTAGTGGAAATAAATATGTTTTGTTGTGTTATTTACTGACCTTCTACAAGTTGGTTCCACATTGCAAACAGGTGCACATTGGCTTCGTCAGTGACAACCCAACCACCGGTTGCTATTTCTATTCTTCCAGCTTGGACAAACTCTTTGAACGCCTAGAAAAAAATTAACAAGGGAAAAACTTGACTTATTGATATTTCTTATTGATCACTGTTTGACCATCCGGTTCGAATGGACCAAAAATATGTTGTTACAAGATAGATTGCAAAAATGTATAAGAAGTTCGTGATCCACCGAGATGCTGCCGAACTTTATTAAATGCACTTGCATTTTATTTATATTTTCGAAGGACCAGATATATTTAGATAATGGCTATATCAGACCGATTAAAAGATTATAACAAATGTTTAAATGTTTTATATTTAAATATTACGATTTATAGATGATATGTTTCTTAGTTGAAGTTTGAATTAATACTTATGTCTGTTAGATGAAATTTGAGATATTACTACTTTGAGTGTCGATTTAAGACTGATGTTAGTTAGATGAAATTTTAGTTATTACTAAATTATAATGACTTTACAATTTTATATGATTTTTCTGATTGGTTCGTTTTTGTGGGTTCAAGCGACATTCCGTTACATTTTTGACCAATCAGGTATTATTATTTTTAACTTTCCGAAGGAGAAGTTTGTTTTCATGGAAAAATCCGATTTGCTAATTTTATGTTTTCTCGACGTTTGAAGCCATTCTGAATCGAATGAGACCAAATTTGGAAAAAGTATGTGTGTGTGTGTATGTGTATGTGAACAGATTTTTTTTTTAAATTAATTTCTGAAATACTGAATAAAAAATAGCATGCACAAAATTTCTTTCATGTACGTAATAGTAATATATCTCTTCTATCAAATAATGTGTTATAAATATATCAAATTCCAACTTATAAGAATGAACAAGGACAAATACGATTGAATAGCAAGATTGAACATTAGGGGTCGTCCATTAATCACGAGATCACTTTTAAACATTTTGGACCTTCTTTCGCCCAACATTAGGCATATTTTTAGTACTTGGAAACAATCGTTAAATTTTGATTTTTTGAAAAAATTTGGAAATGTTTTAAATTCAGATAAAAAGTAAATAACACGTGATATCTTACTAGACCCGCCTTTTCAACATGATATTTCGTGATTTTTTGTCAAACCCTTCCCCTTCTTTCAAGCCTTGCGTGATAAATTGGTGACCCTTAAGGGCGTTTATTAATCACGTGATCGATTTTTTAAGGATTTTTGGAAAGTAAAAAAATGCCATTTGACGGTCACAAATGATCATTAGACATATGCACATCAAATTATCATATATTTTATATTATTTTATATTATATTTTGTCTCTATGCAGTTAAAGCAGTACGATTGCTTTGAAAAAAGTTCAGAATTCCCAAAACATTTCAAAACAAAGAAGGCATTTTTTTTCAAAAAAGGTAAATTTTTGTCACAAATTTATAGTTTTTCAAAAATCTAATTTTATTAAAGTAAATTTTTTTCAAAAATGTTAATCTTTTTAAAAAAAAATAATTTTTGGTACAGAAAGTTCCAGAAATTTTCCTTAAGGCACGATGCCATGCGCCCCACTAAACTAGTGGACTTAAATGAGAGGGATTATTTAATAGTTCTAAATTATATAATAAGGGATGAGGGTTTACAATTAGGGTTGAGTAAGGCGTTAACAATTATTATTCTTACCTTTTGTTTTATGGGATGTGCCTGATCCCACCAAGTCTGCAAAAAACAAATTTCAGCCCAGACGAATGTCAATTTGCGATATTCACTCATTTTTTTAACCAAGTTGTTCAAAATATTTCTAGTTTTTGTCTCAAAGTACTGCTCGAATGTCAAAAGCCAACCTGCATCATTATGCGAATGGGGAACCAAAATCACCTGGAGGAATAAGCAATTACATACTTCTGTTACTTTTTCTTATCTCATCGTCAACTTTTACCTTGAGATGCGGTTTTTTCGTATTTCCTTTTTCTTTATTATACCTGGTTTCAAATCTATCATCCCAAAATACCTTATTTTGGGTCCAATTAGGGTGGAAGTAAAATCTCTGGTAAAGTGCAGACGTGTCAACGTCTGCCTGGTTTTGTACCATTACCATACTTTTTGGGCATGTTTGGGATATGGAGTTATTTTGGTACAAACTAGAATTCAGGACAAAGTGTGATGATACGGAGGCATTTTGGTACAAACTAGAATTTAGGATAAAATCTGATGATACGGAGGCATTTTGTTACAAACTAGAATTTAGGACAAAGTGTGATTAGGGTTTGTCGGTTTTCAAAAACCGGTTTTTGGCGAAAATTATGGAATTCGAAAACCAGTTTTTTAGTGAAAAAAGTCGGTTTTCACTGTATAAATGGAAAATGACAAATATAGCCAAATATACAAGATAGATGAAAGCGTTTTGATTCTTAAAATCATATCGGTTCAATAGCATTTGATATCTTATCAGTCTGCAATTCTTCTTTTTCTTCTTCCCAGAAAGGATTTGTATATATTAATTTTGATTTTTATACCAGTGTTTGTATTAATTTAAATCAGTGTGACTTCTTCTTGAAGAACTTAAAAAAATGTTTTAAGCCCTAGAAGCCACAAATAAAAGAACAAAAAACTTAGAATTATTATATCAGGCTTTAAAAGCAATTAAGCATAATTTGGTCGCAAGTATGAGAATTTTTTCTATTTCAGGAATTTTTGCGAGTAACCAAAGGACACATTTAAGTAGCAATTCGATAGATGTCTCAGTTTCTTGAAATCATATGTATTATATTAAACAAAAAAACATTTAGAATGTTTAAAATTAATTACTTAAAATTGCTCTGAACAGACAATACTCGAGTTTAGCTAATTGTCTTTAAAACTAAAATTGATATCAACAAGTATATGTCAACATGTATCTATTTTTTTTTAATTGAATGATTTTTTTTTTATTTAAAAATGTGTTATTTTTATTTATTCGAAAGCTTTCCTTTCACTATCATAAAAATATTTTCTGTCTTATATGTGAAAATGATTCATGAATAACGAATAATTATTTTCAAAGTTATTTAATCAAGATAAACTATTATTTTTTAGTTCAACTAATTAAAATTAAAATAATTTTACTATCTATAAAATTAAACAACAAATAAATTCACTCAAATACTGCTTTGAATTACACTAAAACTGCGGATGAATTATATATTATTCGAGCAAAAATTTATTTTCTATATAAAATTCGAAAACCGGTTAAAACCGTTTTTTTTAGTAAAATTGAAATTCGAAAACCGGTTTTCTGAAATGTCGATTTTTGTATAAACCCTAAGTGTGATGATATAGAGGCATTTTGGTACAAACTAGAATTTAGGACAAAGTTTGATGAAAGTAGATTATAATCGTGTTGGTTGTGAGTTTTTGTACCTTTGACCATTCGAAATTCTTATTTCTCCAAAGATTGTGGTTTGGAGTATCAAAGGTTCAAGATGTTGAAGATTCGAGGCTGCTTTTTCTTTTTTGACGACACTCAGGGAATAGAATGCCAGGAGGACGCATAGTAAAAATGCACCTGGGACGAAAAAAATATATAAAAATATATCATTTTTTTTAATTACAATATTTATTCCAACTGTTAAATAATTAACATCTAGCAATAATGATAAATAATAATATTAATTTAAATAAATAAGAGTATAAAGGATAGAATTTACATTAAAATGATATCCCTAGTTTGATGATTTAATATACAATAAAAGCAAATAATAATAAAAATAAAATTAATAAATAAAATAAATAAAATTTCTGAATAATAAAATAATACTAGAAAAACAATAAAGTTGAATTAAAACAATGAGTGACAAATAATAATAAATATAACAAAATAACAATATTAGAAATAATTATAATAATTTGTTGGTGCAACTTGTACAAATATGACCAGAAAATTAACTTTTATCTCAGAAGCAAAATTGTGATTAGATTTCTTTTTATTAGACTTACAATTCATAAACACTTTAAGGCCATTTCTCAGTGTCAATTCCATGGTACACCAGAAATATTAATTGTTATTATATTTCTATTTAATTTTTATCATTTTTATTCATTTGTCTAATGTCAAAAATAATTTTTTAGTGCAAAATAAATGTCATCAGTGATAAAAAGATTTCTAGTCGAAGGAATAAGAATATATGGATGAGCTATTGTTGTTTTTAGTAATTAAATTTTTCATTTAGTGACAAATATAATCCTAACAACATATAATTAGTTGTAAGTGGCACTTTGCCTTATGGCAAGTTGCCTGAACTTTCTAACAGTGTAAATAATTGTCTTAGCTAATAAGAAATTACTATATAAATTTATACGATTCAGAATGACTTGAAACATAGGGTTGAAAAATCTTGAAAACTCTCCTTCGGGAAATTAAAAATAACTAGTGGTGTATGCATCGTGTCTTAAGGCAAATTGCTGAAATTTTCCGTGCCGAATTAACATTTTGAAATTTGAATTATTTTCGATATTCAAAAAAAAATGATATACTTTATTTTTATTTTTCCAAAAACAATCGTTTCAGCTACAGCAGAATGTTTTTTGAATCATTCAAATCGGACGCTTATTTCTCTCAAAAACTGCCATTTTGTGCACATTTTGCTCCTTAACTCCGAAACGGCTGGACCTGCTTTTGCCAAAAACTAATCAGCACATCTTTCTATAAATAGGAATCGAATGCTTTTTGAATCATTCAAATCGGTTGATTCGTGCGCCCGAAAACGTGGACGAAAAATTGTATACACACACACACATCAATTTTTTCTAAAGTATGCCAAAATGTTCAAAAACCTCTGAAACGTGAAGAAATGCAAAAGTTTTCAATTTTCATTTTTGTACGTTTGCAATAACTTACTCTAAGGTCTAAGGAAAGTTAAAAAAACATTTTATAGAAAAATCATTAGTTGATTTATTTGTTTCTAAAAATTCACAACGCAACTACAAAATATTTTACACAGCAATACTCTTATATATATATATATATATATATATATAAATATATTTTACATCAATAAAATAAATATAAATTTAATCTACAATAATCATTATTACATTCCTTTCAACATCACAACTCGATCGATCAGTTCCTATCTAACAATATTCATATATACAATATTTTAAATCCTGTATTTAAATTAATATTATCTTTACCTTTATCTAAATTCAATTTCTTGTATTAATTACAATCTAAATAGATAATTTTATAAATCTTCTATCTACATTAAATTTTTGCATGTTAGCTGTCATGTGAAGGGCAAGATCTTCGTTAAAAGTACTTAATTTAATTAATTATATTTGACTAATAGAATGGACTTATATAATAATTTAAATCTAACCAGAATGAACAAAGACTTAAAAAATAATTATAATATTATAAATATTGCATAAAATCACATTTGATTAATATTTTAGACTAAATACTTAATTTAATTAGACTGCCATTTGTTAGAGTAGAATAATTCTTGAAATTTAAAAATAGTTAAGGCTACAATTTTAAATTAAAAATAATTGCTTAGTGTCATAAAAATAAAATGTAAATATATTATACAATAAATTATATAAATAATTAGGTTTATCTAATTTATATACAAATCTTTGAAAATCACTATTATCACGCTATATATAAATATTTCTTCTACTCTTCAAAATCTATCCTGTACATTGCCAAATCCATTTTCTCGACAAAAATATCTCCAAGTCCTTTAACCGGTTCCAAATCCTTAACACCAGTCAGACTGGTCTCTGTTACTTTCTTTATTTTAACATCAGTCAATGTAGTATCAGGATGCATTCTTGTATTGTGGCAAGTGTCCAAAGGATTTGTACTGCCTATTTGACAACTGTAACCCTGGATAATAGAAACAAGTCAGTACAGAAATTATACGGTTAATATCAGTATTATTGTTGTACCTGTCTGTGCAACATTAACAGAGCATTTGAACCAGGAAATTGATGATAAGTCTCATCGCTTAGTATTCTCATATTGATCAATCTCATGTCGCAAGGTAAAGGATGTGATATTAAAGGTACTCGACTCCTGTCCTGGTTTATTGTTGTGTACTCAGTTTTAGAGTTAGACTCATCCATTTTGTTATTCGTGTTGTAAGTAGCTGAAATACGATGTTGGTTAAAATATGAACTATTTAATTGTATATTAAAATACTTACAGCTTGCATTTGGTTCTTCGACAGAGTAGATATTTAGAGGATAATTCAAGGCATCTGCTAATCGTGTAGCTGCTAAACTTGGTAGTTGATATTCTTCATTTTGTTTATCAGAATTTGCATCGGCAGATTTTTGCAGTAAATCTTTGGCAATGTCTAAACCTTCTCTGATGTTGGATGCATCTTTACTATTTTGTACACTGGAAACAAATTAACAATATTATATATAAACTAGTTGGTATTGGTATTTTGCCTTGAGGCAAGTTGCATGAACTTTCCGATTTGTGTAAATAATCCACTTAATCAATAAAAAATAAACTAGTGGGGTGTATGGCATCATGCCTTAAGGTAAATTGCTGGATCTTCCCGTACCGTAACGAAATGTTCGAGGAATACTGAATGTTTTGAAATAGATTATTATTAATATTGTAACATTGTCTAATATTCATAAGAATTATATAAACTGAATTGAAAAATTTATTTGTTTATAGTATAGTAGAACTTTAGTCAGAATTAAAAATAAAATCTGAATTATTTTGGATATACAAAAAAAATACAATTTTTTTTTCCAAAATCAATTATTTTGTTAAAACAAGCTGAAAGTTCTTTGAATCATTAAAATTGAACGCTTAGTTCTCACAAAAACTGTCATTTTTGCACATTTAGCTCTGTATCTTCGAAATGGCTGGGCCTGCCATTTTCACCTAAAACTAATCAGTATCATTCCCAACTAATATCTTCCGAACAGTTTTTGATTTTTCAAAGTAAAGTAAAGTTACAAAGAAACGGCTCGGCATAAAACTGAGAAACGATAATTCTCATCGAGATACATCAAATGCTTTTTAAATATCTTTTTTTTTTTTTTTTTACAATTTATTTTTGTTATTCAAGACTTTCCTTTTAAATATCTGAAATTGGTTTAGGCGTTTTTGAGCAAACGTCGATGAAAGTTCTAATTTTGACAAATGCCAAAAAAACGAAACCAATTTTTGCAAACTTTGGCGAACTTTTAAAGTTAAACGAGTTGTCGTAGGGCCGTATGATCTAGAAGACTATGGTATCTAGCGTCAAAAAAATAATAATAAAAATCGTCGAAAAAATTTTTTTACCACTTTCACCACAAATCTATTACAAAAAAACGGCCCGGCCGATCTTTACCAAGAACTAAGCAGCACGATTCCCAGCTAATATCTTTCGAACGCTTCTTGAATTTTCATAATCGATTCAGGATTGCGGGCTAAAACGTGGACGAAAAATTTTTCACTTTTCTGCGATTTACAAAGAAACAAACAATAGTACTCATCTAGATACATAGAATGGCTTTTAAATTTTTGAAATCGGTCCAGCCGTTTTCGAGAAAACGTCGATTTACGGCAAAAAATCTGTTCACATACACACACACATACTTTTCCTTAAACTTGGTCTGATTCGATTCAGAATGTCTTGAAATGTCGAGAAAACATAAAATTAGCGAATCGGATTTTTTGATGAAAACATAAACTTCTCCTTCGGGAAGTTAAAAAATAAATCAATTTATATATACGTAACTAACCTTTGATCATCGTCCTTCGAATGAACACTTTCCACCAGCAACCAGTTTTTAAATACAGTCGGTTTATTGTCAATAAGTCCTTCACCCATTCCTCGAGAATCATCATACAAAGTCCTTCGATCCAACATTACTTCCAAATAACCTGGTTCCAAACTTGCAGCGCCCTTTAAAAAAAAATTACACATTAAAACAACATATTTCATTTTTTTCTATCTATTTTACTCACTTGTGCATGATCAGTTATCAAAGTCACTCTGGTCTTTGCATCCTGAATGAAAGCCATACTGGTTATCGGGTAGTAGTTGCCTTCAGGACCAATTGCTGGTACTAAAGTTCTTTTATGGTATTGGAAAGAATTAGAATCGGTGTAGAACACTGGTGTGTCACCATTGTCGATATTTGTTTGTAACCTGAAACATTATTTATAATCTTAGTACCTGCATGAGTTTTTTTATGATGTTTTATCTTTTACCTAAGGAACAGTTCAGTTTCCCTGTATTTAGGAGGTTCTCCAAAGTCGACCAAGGTTTCTAAGTATACAGCACGCATTAATTCACTATTTTTGGAAGGATGGTAATCGTTTTTGAAATTGTATATTCTTGTTGTGTGTGATATGAATCCGTTGTACAAGGCTGTTAGTTCGCTTGATATTTGACCACTTATTATCATTAGACCAGGAGAGAGGCTAGAATAGTAAAATTTTATATATTTTAGCTCCTTGTTTTATATAATACTAGATGACCCGACAGACGTTGTCCTGTGCATATGTATACAATTTTTTAATACAATATACTAATATTTACAGTTTACCTAAAAATAATAATTATTGTTTTTTAAGTTACTCTTTACGCCAAAATGCAAATACATTTATAGTATGAACGATGTTAAATGTAGAACTGCTTTAAATAAAATGTTGAGTCTTAATTCCCACACTATATAGGAAATTGAAGTCTTTTAAACGATATAACATACCCATAACATAACACTGATCATTCATGTTGGATTTAATTAATTTAATTTTTAATTATTTATGATATCCAAAATTGCATCTTAAACTTCACCTAATCGATATCGTGAGGGCCGAATTGTATGTATTCGTCTTTACTCTCCCATTTGTTGTTATAAAGTGAAAATTTTACGAATTTTAAAAATATTGTGGAAAGATTAGTAAAACATGCAAAGAAATTATATATTGAAAAAAAAACTATATTGAAAATTTAATATCCGAATTTTGTGTTGGCGCCCCCTAAGGCGTGCGCTCGTATTTTTTGCATGCGTCGCATTAAAGGTAGGACCGGCCCTGATTAATACTTAATTTCATATTTTAAGTGAATTAATTTGCCATATTCTGTTCATATGTGTAATTATTCAATCTGCCATATATATACTGTATTTTATATTATTTTAATTTCTGGCACATCTCAGCTGCTTTCTGGCAATAATAATGTATACATTTTATTCTTCTTATTCATAATCATAAATTTATTATACATATTCTAATATTATCTAGGTTCATAAGTAAATTGAAATTTTTGGCAGATGACAGTTTTCATTCGTTTTCAATTCAAACAATGACACGTCGTTTTTCGAATTTTTTTCCATTAATTTGTACATAATTTCACATACATCCCAGTACTTTATAACAACAAACATCTTGGAAAATTTCTCTAACAAACTTTAGAAAGATTTATCAAAATCCGAATAATCGTTTAGGAAGAGTATACAGTTAGTGCTTGTGATTTAATACGAAATTCGTATAATAGCAATAAAGCTCAAATTGATTCTACGCTTTAGTTAGAAAACGTTTGTATGTGAAAAAGAAAAGGGCCGTTTTTAGGGTTTTCCCGGAAATTATTCGATTTTTTTCGTCGTAAGAACCATCCTTGGACTTGAACGAACATTTTAAAAAAAGAATTGGCCAAATTGGTTCAGGCGTTGTTGAGTTATGCGCTTACCAACACATTTTGCGATTCATTTTTATATATAAAAATAAGATATAACAAGTAGAATTTGTTTTACCCTTTCAAAATATCCCTTTCCGGTTCCAAAGTGTTCGGATCAGGTTTAAACAAGTAGGCACCAGAGTGGAACTGGGCGCTGACATAAGCCCCGAATTTAACATTGCACATAACATTCCTAGTTGTATATTTCTTAGAAGCCCCATCAGCATTGTCCTTGTTCTTCAAAAAACTTTTATGCGTGATAGTCTTTAAAAATCCACTTCTTCCATCGAACAAAAGTCTCAAATCTCTGTTTTCTAATTGGACATCACCAGGTTGCATTGGTTTAAATTGGAACTTCGACTTTCCACCATCGTCTTGTTTAGTAAAAGACTTCTTTTCAAATAAATTGGTACCATCTCGCAAACTTTCTACTTTCACGTTGTGTACGTTAAAACTTTGAATCATTTCATCAGGAGTTCCTTGATGGAAATTGTGTTTATCCGATTTTCCAAAACATTTATCGCAATAGATAGTCGCAAAGTTTTTGGGATCTTCTTTCTTGGTGGTGATTATGGAGTATGTAGATAAACTCAAAGGTGGTAGGCGGACTATGAAGGATATTTCAAATTCTTTATCGGATATTGTCCATTGTGGTAGAGTCGTAGATGTGTTCCAGACAGGACTGATTTGTATGCGCACCTGATAAAAAATAATATTGTCAACTAGAGTTGGGGTAATGGATTAGTTTTTAAATTACCTCTTTGTTCTGGTCGTCAAGAATTGCTATTTTGGTATCATTCACGCGTATTATGACGACTTCAGAACGTTCTTGTGGAAGCGAGTTGAACATCACGATTTGTCTCTTTTCTCTCGACATCGATATAGGAACCTGAAAACACGCAAAATTGTCACAACTCCAACATCCGACACCAATATAATTTGTACACAAACCTTTCTATCCAATTTGTCATAACTCTCCTTCTCGATATCCTTCAAAATAAAACCTTTCAAATCGTCTTTGTCTTTTTCCTTGTGTTCAACAAGTAAACTCTCGATGGAGTCTTCTTGTATCTTATTGGCAATTTGCAAAGCTTCAAACAGTTTCAATCCATAGTCTCTCATGACAGCATGTTTGGAAGTTCCAGTAATGGCATCATGGTGCTGGAATAATGCCAAATGCCTTCTGGCACGAGTCAGACTGTCGTAGTGTTTTTCAAGGATTCTCAAATGCGAAGAGTATTTCTGGGAGTTAACTCCTGGTTTGCTATTCGGATGCTGGGATAGTTGACGTGCCCTATTGGTGGCGATTGTGTATAAAATCTCAGCATTCCTAGATAAAAATCATTGTCACGCAATGTGCTAAAGAGACAAAGTTTTTCATCCCACTTACCTTAAATTGTGTTCAACAGTTCTGTCCAGTATCTTCAAATAGGGTCTGGTAGTAAAGTATCCTGACCAATAAGCAGGTCGACCCTCAGTGAATATATCTGAATACACAAAGAAATCTCCGGCAACTGTCGGAAACCGTTGTTGTGCCTCTGCTGTACGTTTTTCGATTGCTTCAAAATAATTTCGAGGAGTACCGAAGGATATTTCAGTTCCGTATTTTTTGCTGTTTTCATTTATGAAGTCGACTAGGAGTTTGTAGTTGGTGTATTGCTGGTCGAATTCGACTTCGTGATTATATCTGAAGACATAGAATATTGAAACAAATTTTTTTATTGAAAATATGTAATTGTTCTTACCTGAAATCATCTCCAATTGGTACAAGTGCCACGTTGTGAGGAAACAGACTAGCAGCCTTCGAATATTGCTCCAATAACAGTTCTGCCTTTTCTCGTAAATTATTTTTGTCAATAAATTGTGCTTTGATGGAGTACTCAGTGTATTCACCTGTTAAAACATAAGTTACAAATGTAATCTTTAGGCTCTTACTATTATTATTAACTTCCCGAAGGAGAAGTTTATGTTTTCATCAAAAGATCCGATTCGCTAATTTTAAGTTTTCTCGACGTTTCAAGCCATTCTGAATCGAATGAGACCGAATTTGGAAAAAGTATGTATGTGTGTGTGTGAACAGATTTTTTGTTGTAAATCGACGTTTTCTCAAAAAACGGCTGGACTGATTTCAAAAATTTAAAAGCCATTCGATGTATTATCGTGAGAAAAAAAAATGAAAAAAGTGAGAAAATTTTCGTCCAGGTTTTAGCCCGTAATTCTGAATTGATTGTGAAAATTCAAAAACCGTTCGAAAGATATTGGTTGGGAATCGTGCTGATTAGTTTTTAGTAGAGATCGGCTTGATCGTTTTCTTGTAATAAAGTGTTAAATAAAATGTTTTCGGCTATTTTTATTATTATTTTTTGACGGTAGATACCATAGTCTTCTAGATCATACTAAAATTTTACGGCCCTACCACAACTCGTTTAGCTTTGAAAATTCATTAAAGTTTGCAAAATTTGGTATGGCTATTTTGGCATTTGTCAAAATTATACATTTGATCGACGCTTTCTCAAAAACGCCTGAACCGATTTCAGAAATTTAAAAGCCATTTGATGTATCTCAATGAGGACTATCGTTTATCAGTTTTGTGCGACGATGTGCCAAGCCGTTTCTTTGTAATTTGCAAAAAAGTGTTAAATTTTTCGTCCACATTTAAGCTCATACTACCGAATCGATTTTAAAAATTCGATAACTGTTCGAAAGATATTAGTTGGGAATGATACTGATTAGTTTTAGATGAAAATCTACCGAGCCATTTTCTTGTAATTCGTTGTTGAAAAAAAAATTTGAGCCGATTTTTACGGAACTTTTTTTGGCGATATATATCATGGTCTTATAGAAGTTACTGAAATATTGCGGCCTTACGACAAGTAATTTAATTTTAAAAATTCATCAAAGTTTGATAAAATGAGTAGTTTTTTTGACGTTTGTTAAAATTAAAGTTAGACGATTTACTTGGTATAAAGATAGAGTACTTAGTTTTAATAAACAAACTAAATTATTAAAGTCCTACTGGTTCAATTATAAAAATTCTTAATTTTTGAAAATTTGCTTTTAGAAAATACCCAGGGTTAACGTGTTCGTTCGTTTTCAATTGTGTATAACAAATCCACTCGGAATACTTTTAATCACTCATAAACTAATTTCTATTTTATTGATGAAGTCGATTATTTACACATATCGGGAAGTTCATGTAACTTGCCTCAAAGCAAAATACCAATACCAACTAGTTTAAATTTCTCATATATTACCTCCAATTTTCCTAAAATCAAAGTTCAAGCATGTGTATGGATGAGGTCCACAGGAATGTTTGATCGAATAAATATCAAAAGGCATATTGTGAGTTAACATTGCACTTTTTGGTTGCCTTACTTTATTCACTGATTTTTTAACTCTAGCTTCAACAATATCACCATTACTATTATTTGTTGAACGTTTTGATCGTTTCAAAGATGTATCTTCAGGAAGATTATTGATGGTGTCTGCATTGACTGCATTTGCAGAATTTTCTTGAGATTTGACCTCAATATCATCTTGATCGGTGTCTCTTTCCAATCTTATCTCATAATTAACTTCAGTATCTGATCTCAATTGACCGTCCTTTGACACATAAGCATATTGTATACTTTCTTGCATCAGTTCTTCACCACTATCATCTTCATATTTTTTGGAATGAGAGTTTCTTTTATTAACTTTATGATAAGAATTAGATTCTGAGTCATCATCTTTATCTCTGCGTAGTCTGTAAATGTTTTGAGATTCGTCCAAATTTCTTAGATAGTCATACTGTGCAATCATTTCGGCTTTATCAACATCAGATCGGTCATCAAATATGTTATCTGCTCGTTCAGATCTAAAATTGCTGTCGATTTTACCATTGTATACACCATTTAGGTAATGGAGTTTGGGGTTCTCTGGGGAATCTTTTAAGTTCTGTGCAGGTTCTTCAACATCCCGCTTGGTTCTACGCAAAACATCAGTCTCATCAGATTCATCATGATTCACCACATCCAACATATCATCATTTATTGATTTAGTTCGACGATTTAACTTAGGACCTTCGCCAATTTGTATAGGGCCTTCGTGAACAATTCGTTCCACTTTATAATTACGACTGACTGGTTTTTTTTCTTGCGTGGAAACATCTCTTCTGGTTCTATCCGAATCTTTGCCAGTAACTTCCCATCCAGGAACCCACATAAAATCTCCAAATCTCTTCCAAGCAAACCATTGCTTCCAAGCGTAATGAATTCTCTGAATTATGGTACCTTGGAAACCAGAATTGCTCAAAATGTAGGGAAATGTACTGCCGTGCCCAAAAGGATCGATTGACCAGCCTGTTGTTGGTGTAATATTCAGGTTGAGTTTTAACCATTGGTGACCTGGAGAAGGAAATAAGTTAGGAATTGCTGGATATAAATATGTTTTGTTGTATTATTTACTGACCTTCTACAAGTTGGTTCCACATTGCAAACAAGTGCACGTTGGCTTCGTCAGTCATAACCCAACCGCCGGTTGTTATTTCTATTCTTCCAGCTTGGACAAACTTTTTAAACGCCTAAAACAACAACCAATTAGTTGAACGAATAATAAAAAAAATATCTATCTTCTTACCTTTTGTTTCGTGGGATGCACTTGATCCCACCAAGCTTGCAAAAAACTGATCTCCGACCAGATAAACGTTAAATTGTCATGCTGCCTCATCTTGTTGACCAAGTGGTTCAGAATATTTCTAGTTTCTGATTCAAAATAGTGTTCGAAAGTCTTTAACCATCCTGGATCGTTGTGGGAATGAGGCACCAGGATCACCTAAAGTAAAAATTAATAAAATATTTTTTTTTTTTTTGTGATAGTTTTATTTAGCAATCAGAAAAATTACATTTTTCTATAAGCTAAATAATAAAATAAATGATTGCAGTTGTCTTGTGAGTGTATTTCACCAAGTAAATGTAATCGGGACAGTGATAGCAATTGTTTTTTATGGGTCTGTTCTACCAAGTAGAACATAATCAGGAGTATGATAATACTTGTTTATATGGGGTCTATTTTAACAAGTAAAATATGATCCGGACAATGATAGTAGTTGTCTTTTGTAGGTCTGCTGGGACAATGATTGCAGTTGATTTTATGGGTCTGTTGTAACAAAAAAACATAATCATCAATGATAGTAAAGTAAAATATAATCAGGACTAGGGACTGCAATACAAAAATTTATATTTAAATTCCATAACTGCATACACAGCTATATATTTAAGCAATTCTATAGGATAAAAAAATGTCATAATATTATCTCAACTATTCATTAAATTGAACATTTATTGCTTTCCAAAGGGCCTCATATCGTGTTACAATAAATAGATTCGGCTGATAGATAATGATGTTTATTTCATCTTATGTAAAAAATGTAACGGTTTGTAAAGTGTCATCTGCGCCAAAGATTGCGTAATTTTTTATTTTTTGACTTTATGCATATTATTCATAATAATTACCAATTCTTTTTTTAAATGTTCGTTGAAGTCCAGGATGGTTCTTACGGCGAGAAAAATCGAATAATTACCGGGGAAACCCCTAAAAACAGCCCTTTTCTTTTTCACATACGAACGTTTTCTAACTGAAACGTAGAATCAATTTGAGCTTTATTGCTATTATATAAAGTTCATATTAAATACGAGAGCACTCACTGTATACTCCTCCTTGACGATTATTCGGATTTTGATAAAAATTTTTGAAGTTTGCTAAGGAAATTTTCTAGGATGTATGCGATTATAAAGTACTGGGATGTATGTGCAATATTGTAGAAATAAATGTAAAAAATTGCAAAAAACGATATGTCATTGTTTGCATTGAGAACAATGAAAACTATCAACTGCAAAAATTTCCATTTACTTATGAAAATTTCATTTTATAATAACAAATGGGATAGGAAAGATGAATACATACAATTCGGCCCTCACGATATCGATTAGGAGAAGTTTAAGATGCAATTTTGGATATCTTAAATAATAAAAAATTAAATTAATTTAATTCAACATAAAGAACCCAGTTTTATGTTTGGTTATGGTTATGTTATAACCGTTTAAAATACTTCATTTCCAATATAGTGAAGAGTAATTTAAAAAACAATAATTATTATTTTTAGGTAAACGGTAAATATTAGTATATTATATTAAAAAATTGTAGACATGATAACAGAACATCTGTCGGGTCATCTACTTTAAATAAAATTACTCTACAATTATAGTATGTTATTAATTATCTTCTATAAGTTTCAGATCATAAATTAATATATATAAACAATAAATTTAAAGTCTTTAAAATATTGGAAAATATGCTAATTTAACACATCGGATACAGACAATACAGTTTATTATAATAATGTAATATGATCATTGAGAGTTTTGGTCTTTCTTACTCATACGTTTAATTTTGGTAAAAAGTACTCAATGTACTCGATAACGATGACGAGTTAATTAAATTACCGGTATTTTACCGGTATTCCGGTATTGAAATTTTTTAACGGTATTGCATTCCCTAATCAGTACAATGATAGTGTTTATTTTTTTTCTGGGTCTGTTTTAGCATGTAAAACATAATCAGGGACAATGGTAGTAGTTGTCTTTATGTGTCTATTTAACCAAGTAAACGGATATTATTTCATGTAAATTCGATCCTTTGCTCTCTTATTTATTTAAATTTATGTTATTATTTATCAATATCACTAGATGTTAACTATTTAACAGTTGTAATAAACATAGTAATTAAAAAAAAATTAACCAAGTAAAACAAGATCAATACAATGATAGTTGTGTATACTTGTTTCTTATTGGTCTGTTCTACCAAGTAAATATAATCAGGACAATGATAGTAGTTGTTTCTTATTTTACCTTAAGGTGTGGTCGGTTTGGATCTTGCTTTATTTTGCTGTATCTCCTTTCAAAGGTGTCGTCCCAATATTCTTTTGTTTTCATCCAAGCCGGTTGGAAGTCAAATTTCTGGTAAACTATAGAAGTATCAACATCGGCCTGGCTTTGGACCATCACCATGTCGTTTGGACATGTGTCGTATGATGATGGTTGAAGTGGTATGAGGAAACGCTGGAATAAATTGAAAAATCATAAATTAAATCATAAAATTCATGATTTTTGGAATTTTTTAAATCAAATAGGTTTAACACTATTCCTACCGACATTTCATGTTTACTATTCCTACCGCAACCGGTCAAGTGACCGGTCATGCAATATCTATATTTTTCAGTATTTAATAAAGAGTTAATGCTAGTTTAAGAGTTTATAAATATAAATACAAAATATTTCTTTTTTCTAGAATGCGAAATCTACATTTATTCTGTTTTATCCAATTTTTAGTTTTTTTTTTCTTAGAGTGTATTTTCTGCACACGTCCTATCATATTTCTAAAACATTATCTGGAATATTTTCTTTAGGGAATCTGTTTGTACTTGTACTTAGTTGATTTTTTTCTGAAATTCTTGTTGGAACTATACGGCAAATTAATTGGAATAGAAAGTTCCTGCCTTGTACATCGTCTTCCCATAATTTTTTTATGTGAAAACGATAGATTTATCCTGAATAAATACAAAATAATGTAAATCCTTTATAAATTCTCTCTAAAATTCATATTTTACGAAATGATTCTGATGATTTATGAATGACATCTACACCAAACACGACGCTAATACCAATTGAATTGACTCTAGTATTAGTATAATTTTTCAACATATATGTGTATGTAGGTAAAAATTAGAATCTTCTTTTTTAGCTTTCAAAATTGTAAATATTATTTGAGTGAAGTCCTTGATTTTTACTTCTACTGTGCTTGTAGCTGTTATATTGCTTCAATTGTATCACAGTTTAGTTTTGCTAACTGTTTAGGTATAAGTAAAATGGTATAAACGTTTAAATTTTTTACATCGTACTAGCGATTTTGATAATACGTACATATAATATAAATCTTCAAAGAAATTCTCAGTTTCTACGTATCCAGTATATGATGGTTATCAAAATTTTACACCCCATTTGTGCGATTTGCTTGGCATAATTATATTTACATCGTATATTGAACAGTTACTAAAATTTTATACTACGTTTTCCTAAATATTATTGAACATGTGTTGAATAAATTTACACCTTACCTTCATTGAAAACATATGTTTGTCGATAGTAATACGTGGTCTTTACAACAATTTTTGATTGCTGTCAAAGTAGTTGAACCAACCTTTGATTCAAAACAAAACCTATGAATTTGTTGTTTGGATTCCTTCGTAAAAATCTGTCTACACATAGACATTGAGCAAAAATGAGAAAACCCACTTTGTTTACCGTAGAAGTGCAAATTTATACTCCTTGCCTCATATGCGCAGCGTGCATACAGAATTGGAAAAAATGCATATAAATTTGCAGAAGGCAGGTTTCACCACTCTAAATTCTTCTGTATTTACATTTTCTTGTTTCGATCATATTCTTAACAATACTACAAAAAATACCGTCCGATCATCGTCTCTCGTACTACCGGTCAAATGACCAGTCGCAATAGGTAAGACAGTATACAATTTTTCCAAAACTAAAAATTGAAAAAGCAAATTTACATTGAAAAATGTATCATACTCACACAGAAGAAAGTCATAAAGTTTGATGACGATTACGTTTAATATGAAAAAATACTAATCGAAAAAGAAAAACGGTCATTTGACCGGTCCCGGTAGAAATAGGTTAAAAATGTTGCAGTGTAGAACCTCAAACCTTAATAAAGATCTTTTAAATCTTACCTCTTATCATCCCAGTACTTGGCCTGTGCCCCATCCTTCGTCTGGAGCCTCAGAGGCTCCTTGTCGCCTCCGCTGGGCCCCAAGGGGGCCTCGTCTGGTTCGCAAGACTTATATAGTAGAGACAGACGAGGGCGCTCAATAAAATTGCACCTACGGCTAGACATTTGGTAGAACCACGTCGATGAGATTTTAATAACATTGTATTTGAAAAAGGGATAAAATTTGTGAAGGAATTTTATCTTAAAATAATTTTTGATGGATGACCAATCATTCAATGGTGATAATAAGTTAAGTTTGTGCAAATTTAGTCGATGCACTGAGATTATTTTTTTAAGTCTGTCACAGGTCGTCACACATTATATTAAATTAGTATAACTTTTAGGCTACTCTAAAAATCACCATTTTTAAGCCTGAATTTGATAGCTAGCTGCACTTAATTAATAAGATTTTTTTTAAAATGAATTATTATTTAGTCACATTTTCCAAAAAAAATCTTAAAAAACTCACTTGTTCATTAAATATCTTTAAGCTGCTCCAAAAATCCTAACATTGAGATTTTAACAAATACCAAACATGATGTTTTTAAACGCACTTAATTTTTAACAATATTTATTAACCTTTAGCACTTTTTAATTTAAATTAATCCACAACAGTAATTATTGTTCAAAATTATTATTTTGTGCAGTGCACTTATCAAATAAAAAACTACTTTTTTTACTTGAAGTCACACTTTTAAAAGCAACAAATACTAAAGTTGTTTCTTATTGTTTTTAGAAAAATTGCTACTTTTTTGATAAAATTCTTCAGTTACTATATAATTTAGTTCAGTTATTATTTAGTTATATCACAAACTATTACATAACTAAATCCGTAATTACTTTTTAAGTATTTTTTACTCACTGTGTATTGCTAATTTTAATTGTTTCTATGTTTAATTCCCATAATAATAATTTTAAGTAAAGACTAGTATAATTTATTTAAAAAAATATATATGTTTTATAAAAATAAATACTTATGAAAATAATTTAGTTCATTTTAAATGACAAATAAAAATGACATGAGGTCAAGTTAAAAAAATGACACATGGTTTAAAAAAATATTTGTTTATGTAATATTTAGAAAACACTGTCTTTAATATCAGATTTTGAAAATTTTATGTAATTTTAGGTAATAATATTTAGTTACAATAATGTTTAATATTAATAGTTAAAAAATTTCATCAATATCGATCCTGGCGCTTTTTTTAGCATTTTCCTTTATTATTTAATAATATATTTATAAAGAATAATTATCTTAACTTTTTTAGTATATCAGAATTAATTATGTAGAGAATTTTAATCCAAAGTTATTTTCACATTTCTTGAATGTAAATACATAAATAGTATTAAGAATTTTTAGTACT